ACGTCCGCACTCCTCCCTCCATATCTCGGCCATTCATGGGCCTTTTTAATTCGTTCTTTTTGTATTCGTGTTATATGCATAGACTGCAGCCTAACTATGTGTGTGATAAGCTAAGTGTTGCAATGCTATATACCTTCTTGCTGGTGAGGGCGGCGGTGAGCGAGCGCCCAAGGGCGGGCCATCAAGCGATGAAACGATGACGTAGCCCAGCCCAGCCCATCAACGGTCCGTCCCCCGGCGTTCCTCGACTTTCCCGTGTGCGCCCGTGTGCGCCCATCGTTCGCGCGTGCGCCCGTCGCTCCCCCTGTCGTGCTCGTCGTCTGCCCCGACGTCCGCTCCCCTCCTTCAATATCTTGGCCATTTCTCGGCCATTTTCATTCGTTCTTTTTGTAGTAGTAATGTAATCATATTCTGTAGCCTTGTTATATAGATAGCAAACTAAGTACTATCATACCATACCTCCTCACTGGTGGGGACGGCGGCGAGGAGGGCAGTGGCTGCGCGTGGATGGCATCATCGCCCAGAGCCAGACGGCCCTATCACGGGGCTCATGCCATGGCGTTATCGGCCGAGGATTCTCAGCATCGAGCGCGGGTGGAGATCTCGGTTATGCCCGGGTCATCAAACGCCACAAAGCTTACCTGGCGCCGATGCACTTCATGTCCCACATTGCATTCGCGTACAGTCGATTTGATAGATATACAACATAATACAGCAACCAAGATAGTACTCCAACTTCTGACTATACAACCTTGTCACGACGTGTCCGAGCATTGGGGCCACGCTTCGTGCCAGCATCCTTGCGCACTTTGCGCGGCTTCTTCGCGGCGTTATCGGCAGGAGTGTCGGAGGCAGGGAACGCGGTCTCGAAAGTACGACTAGTGCCAGCGGCCGGCTGCGCATCATCAGAGGCGGGAGGCTGCATCAATGCATCGACCGTAGCGGAGGGACCGGCGATGCCAACAGGCGGTTCCGGCTGATGCTGCGTGAGCTTCTCCTGCTCCCAACGCGCGAGCTCGTCTTGAGAAAGCCGGCGAAAGCGCGCGTGCCCGTTGTGCCAAGCATTGTGAAGCGTCCGAAGTTCAGCAATAGTGTTGAACTTGCCGGGGGCTTGGAAGGCGGGGAGAGGCCAATGGTCAATGACAAGCGCAAGCTTGCGGGTGGCCACGTTGTCGAAGTTCTCATAGTTCATCTTCTTGACAACGAAAGGCCGCGCAGCTTCTTCTGTAGGATAGTCAGCAGAGAGTCAGGCCAGAGTGATGAGACACACACCAAACTTCTCAAATATTAGCGTGCTGACCTTGTTCTTGAGATCCATGAGGTCCTCATATGCTTTCTTCTTGACACCTGTATTGCAGCGGTGAGCCTGAGAAAGATAGAAGGAACAGAAGCACACCTGAAAGTCCTGAAAGAACATACGATTCCAGCTTACCGGTAAACCGGCCGAACTCCATGCCGAACGTCATTTGGAAGAAGTCTTCGAGCTTCTCATCAGTGGACCAGGTGTGCGGAGCAAGGAAGTCGCTCTGATCCCCGCGCACAGCGCTGAACAGGATCTCAACCCCAGTGCGCTGATGAAGTGCCTTCAGCTGTTTGATGGCAAGTTGTGTCAGTGGACCAACGTATCTCGTGAAAATGCAGTGAGACTTACCTCGCGCTCGACCTTCTCCAGGGTCGCGCGAGAATCATGGAAACTGCTGATGGAAACGTTATGGGGGGCATACTTCTTATTCTCCCGGCGTTGATCGAGCTCTTCAATTTGATCCTTCACCGCTTCGTCCTGCTCTTCGGGAGTCATATTCGCCCACCGTGCACTGAGCTCTGCGGAGAAGTTTCCTGCACGCTCACGCATTCCTCCGCTATTTTCCTTGTCTGCAAACAGTACCATTATCAGTATGTAACTAAAACAACCACATGTGTACGTACCCTCGTTCAGTGCTTTGATTTCCTTAGACAGAAAAGCATTCCACTTGTTTGTTTTGCGAGTCGAGTCAGAAATTTTGCTCTGCTGCATCAAAAAGTTGGAGTAGTAGGCCAGGGGGTGGTCGCCCAACTCCTCCGAGAGCCCCTCGGCGATCTTCCAAGTTTTCTTACCTGCGACCTCGAGCGCCTTCTGATGTTTCTCCTTGTTCTCCTGGCGTTTGGCTGCTTGTGCGGCAACTTCGGCAGGTGTGGGCTTCGCTGTGTTGCGGTTCTTAGTGCGGTGGCGGTACTCCATCCGTGCTGGGGCTGCATGCTGCTTGCGAGCTTGGTTGGGATACCGTCTGATATTGCTAGTGTCTGGCTCCGGCAGAGGTGGTTCGTCTGACGGCGTCTGTGACATTGTTTGCCCTGGACGTGAGGCAGAGGTGCAACAACCGTGGGATGCAAGTCAACAAGAAGCTCAGGGTCGAGGACATTTCTTTTTGTAAAGACGCTCATGCTACAGTGTCTCAGCCATGTTGTATTAGTAACTCAGCAGCAGATAGTGACTCAGCAATATCTTAGAGCCACGTGCCTGCACTGCGCAATATGTTTGTAAAGTCATGAGCATCATTTGGTACACTACTACACAGTGATAGCAACAGTTCGCGAACGAAAAGTGTAGTCTTCGGGGGCCCTATCTGGGATGAGGGCGTAAAACCAGTCGGCTTCCGCATGAGCCAGCCCTAGCTCACATAACCCAGCTACAAAATCTCCGTGACTGGGCTGTCGCACCACAATGTCATACATCATAAGGATAAATGCCGTTGACCAACCCCATCGATCGAGAAAGTCGTTGAGAAATGCCGTGAAATGGGGCACCGAGACGCCCTCCGCATCAGACGGAACACCTGCGAAGCCCACAATCTGACCCATGACGTTGCGATAATTGAGGTATCGCACCGGAGGCGAAAAGACGGTAGCTGCAGTGTACTCTGCGGTCTAATGTTAGCACGCTAGACAGATAGCTGCATGAATACTTGCCATTCTTCCCAGTAGTGGGTGGGACAACAAAAGCCGTCTTCAATGGCCAGCGTCCACCCGCCAAGATAGGCCCTATGTACACGTCAGAACACTAAGATATAGAAAGCTGAATTGACTCACTGGCTCGCTTCGCCGACTTTGTGGGGGTCTGTGGGACTGTTTCTTCACTGCTTGTGATCTCAACTATGTCCAAGTCGGGAGTGGGTTTTGTCCGACGAGACGTCGACGGAGTAGCACAAGCCGGTGCCAGAGATGCATGTCGCATGCGTCTGGAAGCCTGAGTTGACGGTTTGCCCCCAGCTGCGGAAACGTCCAAGTCTGCGGCAGCGGAAAGGAGCGGTGCCCTTCTGGATGCACCTCTGTCGCGATCAGCTGTAGTCACCACAGGAACGGAGTCGTGAGTAGACAGCGCGGGAGAGCGAGGGTTGGTCGGTGCATGGTCGGGCTGGCTGTTGTTCTGCGCCTCATCAGCGCGGGGTGACTCCGGGAGATAATCTTTATCCATAGGTTTCACATCTTTGATGCTTATGACTCCGAGTTGCCGGGTAAACACCTCGGCTCGCCGTGCTTCGTCATCTGCGCTGTAGTAGCCAGCGCCACGCGTGATGAGCCACTCGAGGGCTTCGAGTAATGAGGTACACCTCTTGTGAGGGCTCTCGTTCCATCCGATATGGTGTGGTTCGATGTCAGCCCTGTGGAACGTTAATGAGACAATATGCGAGTCGTCGTGACAATGTGACACACCAGTTGAGGAAGATCGCCTCTCGCCCATCCTTGCCATGCAGCAAGGCATAATATTTCCCTGGCTGCTGGAGAGCTTGCTTGATCTCGAGATCAAGAGAGCCGTCTACCATAGCACGCAGACCGGTCACGATTGGTCGAGGGTTGTCGAAGGTCGAGAGGGTAAGAAACAGGGGCTGGAGAACCTGGACCTGCTTCACTTGATGAACATTTGCACAGACGATGGTAATAGGCCACAAATGGCCATTTCCTGTCTGGTACTGCGGCCAGCTGTCGAAAGCTTAAGGTCAGAGCACAAGCAGACTGCCCATTTACGTACCGATCTCGAGAATACTGCCCAACAAGGTCACAACTCCCGACAATGTAGTACACGAGCCGTTCAGGGGGTGTCGGCTTCCCCATGCCCTTGAAAGGGCTGCGAGATATCGTCATAGTGGCGGTAGGACGACGGGAATGTGAAACAAGAGCAAGCAGCGTTGATATCGACAGGTCTCGGGACTAGCCGATGGATCATGCGGCTGGTCATCCCGCTCATTCCCAGATAGGCAATATCCCGCCTCTATAGCTGTCGGATTGGATATTCTGCTTGATACAAAGACTGCACACTTTAAGGAAAGCCTCAAATGTACTTTTCTCATGATACTGCTAGCTGCTGTAGAGTATCGTGTTATTATGAGCGATAACAACAATGCAATACCATGTACATTGCTTCATTCAGGGCTGTATCGGCCTTATGCTCACTCTAACTGCACTGACCATAGCTAAATATGTTTTGCAAGTCTTACAATGGATGTACAATACATTTGCGAGCAGATTTAACCTTGTATGATGTCTGCAGATGGAGATACAGTCGGATGAGCACTATGAATCAATTATCAACGATACACTCTGAAAATATTCAGCCATACACTACTCATGTTATTTCATCCTACTGCTTAATATAAAGTTTGTAGGTGAAGAATTGGGTGATGAAGGACAGAAAGCAAGTGTCAGTGCACAGGTCACATGACCGTGTAATTGCCTGATTAGGTAGGTTTGGCTGCAACATCTATAGTGAAGCACATCAGCTACAAAGGTATAGACCGTCAGGACGTTCTTAAACATGTACGGAATGCTATTATACTGTAATATGCTATGTAAATAAAATGATGTAAGCAAATCCTACCAACCGGCGTGTCAGTAGAGCGTTGCATATAGGGAGAGTAGCCTCCTTTAACTGCAGATACTGGTGTCTTTCACTCCGCGCCGTGCTACACACTGTGTCTAAAATCTCAAAACAAATTTTGGAGAGATAAAACATGGTAGATAGTATAGCGGCGCAATAGTGCCGTGTGCGCCGTAAGTATTTGCAAGCATCCAAGGCATAGAGTTGACTTGAGCTATCGGTGCATTTGGCTGACATAAATGCACTGCTTGTGTCATGAATAAAAATGCAATAAACACCATTATTGCGCGAGGATGGTCAGATCAATGTATAAAAACGTTTCAGATACAATTTACTTAAGTTTGGGAGGTTGTGGAAAAAAGTGTTTCTGGGACGGGTTGAGAGCAAGCAAGTTCCATCTAGCTTCAGGCCAGAATCACTGCCGTCCGAACATCCAGATGTGCACCTCGGGCTGTGTTGCGCAAAGTGAGAAGATAAGGTAGTTTCATATATCAAAAATGTATTCGGCGATGGTCCGAGGCTGTTTGAGAGCATTCACTCTTTGTAGAAGCTGAAGAAGCCCCTCGAGAGCATCAAGCGCTTGCACACTGGGAACGCGATGCTACAACAAGCGGCGGGTGATAGCAGCTGCGCGTGCACGAAAGACGCCGATGTTTAACCTTGCGCTCTCATCGGTCTGCACGAAACATTTCCCATGCATCTCATTGTTGCACCCCTTCGCTTTTGAACAATGGCCGGCGGAGCAAAGTCGCACAGAAGACTTGGCTCTTCGAGGATAGTGAAGAAGACAACCCACGTGCGGTCAACGGACGCGAAGCTGCACCCTGAGGCCAGAGGGCTCCGCAGAGCAGTCACGAGGACTCTGGGCATTGAGGCTCAGGTGAAGGAGCAGGAATCAGCCGAGAAGAGGGTTCAGGCTCTGTTAACCGGTATGTTTCATTTGCTTTAACGGACGAATGCGCCATGCAGAGTAATGCTCCTGTAGGAGTGTCTCGTGAGACCATCGACCTCGTCCGGCACAGTGCCCTTGATGACGACTTTGTTATGCACGACATCGAACTTCCACCCATGCCGACCGACGCGGAGAAATTTGGCCAAGAACACGAATGGGTGGACGAAGATATGCCCGTGTCAGGCGACTTCCTCGATGCTCTAAAGGACATTTCGGAGTCTCGGTGAGTCTCGCCATATATTGTTAATAACTAGTACTTAGAGGTATGGATAGATGGAAGGGCAGATGGTACAAGCAGACCCGCCGTTGGCGATTGCGAAGGCAGCAAGAGGAAGCTGCCTGGGGCCCTATGATTGAACCCCTCGCGGACCGGTACCTGCGTTGCCAATATAGCAGGCCAAACGGTGCGACAGCGGCTCAGCCTCCATCTGGAGATGGCTGGTCAGATTCAAACATCCCAGGTATCGGCGCGGTATCGGATGCAAACGAAGACTCTGGCGTGCCCTTGCTGACCGCCGCATTTGCATCCAGGCTTGCAGCTGCAGCCCGACTAGCGACCACAGCCACTCCGGATGCGGCAAACTTGAGCACAGCTGTAACCAGCTCTGCGACGACCTTCGCTGCTCCTACCACGACTGCTCCCATGACCGTTGGTGCAATCTACTCCGCACCTGCACCTGAAGCTACCACGGCTAACATCGAAGTGACAAGCATTGCGTCTGCCGCTCCATTCACCAGCGGTACCATGTCTCCCAGCGAAGCCCCTACGATAACCACCAGCCCTCATGCCATCGCTGTATCCACCGCGGCGCTCCCACCTGCAGAGGCAAATACCACGCATGTGTCATACACAGTGCAGGTATTTTGTCTTTTCTCTCTCTCTCGATCGGTCACGATTCTCCGTCCTCCGGATAGCGTCTCACCCGCTCTCGACCTCATGCTCCATGGATATATTGCAAAGACCCCGACACGCCCGACGACCGCTGTGTCTATCAAGACCATTGAACTCCTGTACCGCATCCGCCGGCGGAAGGCTTCGTTCAGCATCGAGGCCTTTGCAAAGCTCGTATGTGACTATTACCGTGTACGTTCATTTACTTATCATGTCCGCCGAACTGAAGCTGATGTGGTAGACTGTTTTAGATTCCATACCGCGCGTATCTGCGAAATCTCTTTGCTGATACGTTCGAAGTGTATGTGCGAGTCATTCGGGATGTCGAGCGTCGCATCCATGCACTTCTGGGATGGGACACGCCTGACTGGCGGCCTTTAAATGCGTGCCGTGCATGCTGCTATAAGGTATATCCCCAATGCACTCCTGCGGCCCTTCAAACTTATGGTTTCCAGGTGAAGGGAGAGCCACCATTGCGGTTCAGCAGAATTATCTGCCTCGACGGCAACAACAGTCTGAAACGAGTTGCAACTACAACAGGACGGACTGCCGGCGATACACGATCCCTTGACGACGCTTCGTACTACCTGCCAAGAAATTTTGTCGATCAGTTCAGCCGAGAAGTACGGGGACACCAGACAAAGAATCCACCGGTCAGACAACGTCGGCATTCTGCCGGTAGCTCCGATGGAGAGTCCGACGCCGACGCCGACGACACGGAGTCTGTCGAGGGCGATCCGACAGACGGAGCGTTCATGTCTCCGAATCCGAACGCTCAAGTATCAGTACCAGCTCAGCCATCATCGTCTTTGCCACCTCTTCCATTCCAACCATTCGAGTTGTCATCGCCGCTGCCAGAACCATCGCAGCCATCACCGCCGTCGCCATCCTTGTCATCACAGCCTACTGCGGACGACTCCATTGAGACTGCGCTTGCTCGGAAGCTTCTCGAGCAATGTGTGAAGAATTGGAAAGCCGCTGCGGGCGAAGAGAAGAAGCAGATGTGGCGGATGTTCGACGAGTCTGGATTATTCGCATCAGCATGCCGGCATGGGTTCATCCTCTGGATTGTGGACATGGTTCGAAGCGGAGAGCTGTAAGTACGTCGTAGTTTGTGCTCTGGTGTTGTACTGATACATTCTGATGTTAACAGTGCCAAGTATCCCCTTGCCATCATGCGAAAGATTCTTGATGTGCTTGATCCGGACTTCATGGTTGCGTACGACATCGGCTGCTCATTCGAGACAACCACAAAGAATAGTTCCCTTGGCAACGACTATCATGCAAAGCGCGGTAGCATGTGTGTGCCAGCATTCCACGGATATACCCACTCGCACATCTGTCAACTCCAATTCCATCCGAACGTCATCGAAGGCATGGGCATCGAAGACGCCGAGACGCTCGAGCGTGTTTTCGGAAGCTCAAACATGCTTGCACCCGTCATCCGCTACGCCTCCCCCTACCGCCGTACGCTCTTCATCGAGGAATATTTCAAGCAATGGGATGAAGAGAAGTACCTCAACTCTGGAGCCTTCATGCTTAACAACTATACGCAGTCTCTTGAAATTATTGAGCAGGAGTCCGTGGCGCTGTCGCAAGCTGCTGCTGAACATGGCGTAACTGAACAGTCAATGCAACGCTGGACTCGGGAAGAGCGCGAGTTCTTTGCAACACTCGGCGAAGAATCCGAGTACGATGTATGTGCCATCGCTTATGTTGAGCTCCTCCAGGAGCTGCGAGCTCTCGAGCCGAAGCTATCTGCTGCGACGAGCCAGTTCATTGCTTTTCAACCCTCGTCGAGTAGTTACTCGAAAGAAATCAAGATGACCACAAAGCTTGAAGTTGCACGCCGGCACGCCATCGACCAACACAGCCGAATCACGCTCGAGCTCGTGCAGCTTGAGGTCGCAATGGGCCTCACGAAGCGATGGACACCTCTCGATGAGTCATACAAGGAGACGCTGAAGTACATGCGGGAGCGACACTATCTCCGTGCCCTTGAGAAGCTGCAAAAGCTTGTCGTCCAGAGGCTGTTTGAGCTGGACAAGTTGAACATTGCGGAAACGGGTAAGTGTCACGAGTATTAGTGGAAAGAGATGTGTTCTCAAAAGAGGTCTAGGCTACAAAATGCGGACACACCTTTCGAAATCCCTTCAGGTCCGCTGCAAAACGATCCGAAAAGCACTTGAGAAGTATAACTCCGCCGCCGCCGCCATGAATCCACCTCGGCCGCCTCTCGAATGGGATCAGGTATCTCATTACTCATTCCTTGAGGAGTTTACACTCCTCCAGGATACACGAAACGACGTGCGTAACCGCGAGTGGGCCAAGCCAGTCATCCGCGAAAGTATCAAAGCGTACCGCCGGCTCAACCGCGCGAAGGTCGAGATCAGCCGCTTGAACTGCGAGGTCGCGCGTGTACACACCGGAATTCGGGACGAGACAGTTCTCTTCCATGATGCGCTTGCAAGTCTCACAGCCGACGACCCCCTCCACGGAGCCCTTCTTGATTTCATCGCGCATCGTACCAGGGTCAATGACCATTTGCTGCGGCGTATCGAGCAGATTTACGTGCTTCCCGGCTTCACTGGACAACGCGGTCCAGGGGAGGCGGTGCACGACATGAACCTGGACGCGCGGTTTGCAAGATCTGTCCGCCTGACATCACCAGCAGCTCCCAGTGTAGCGCAAGCAGCTGTCGGTCGCTCCGACGCCGGTGACACTGGCGATGGTGATGACTCCGGCTCCGAAGATGGACTGGTGGATGATGATACCGAGAATCAGATGGGCGCACTGATACAGTATATTGCGGAGCTCGCTTTACTCTAATTACATGTATTTTATTCATCCCTGCGTGCGCAATAGAGACGAAGAGAAACACTTTGCTGGTTACGCTCACTGCCAGCGGCGATAACCTTTGTGGCGTTGATGGCGCCCTGCCGGGATCTCACAAGCCCATAGTTACCTGTCGCCACTCACGTCGTTCCCTCGGTGCTTGTCCTTGTAAACTCATTTGTATCTTGGCCTCACGCCGTATAGGTAATATCAAAGACAGCAGGCGGGACGACGAGCGACCGAGGGCGGGAGGGCGGGAAGGTCAGAGCGGCTGCTCGGTGAGACGTTGACCGATAACGCCATCGCACGAGCCTCCGCATGATTGCGCCATCTGGAAGGCCTCTGGGCGATGACGCCATCCGCGCGCACCCTCTGCTCCTCGCCGCCGCCCTCACCAGCAAGGAGGTACATTATGCGATACTACTTGACTTACTACCTGTATAGGGAGATCACAAGATACAATAACAATGCTATCACAAAAAGAATAAATGAAAGCAGTCTAAAAACGGTCCAGATATCAAGGGAAGGGCACGGACATCAGGGCGGACAACGAGCGCGGGGGCGGGGAGCGACGGGCGCACGCGCGAACGATGGGCACACACGGGCGCACACGGGAAAGTCGAGGAACGCCGGGGGACGGACCGTTGATGGGCTGGGCTGGGCTACGTCATCGTTTCATCGCTTGATGGCCCGCCCTTGGGCGCTCGCTCACCGCCGCCCTCACCAGCAAGAAGGTATATAGCATTGCAACACTTAGCTTATCACACACATAGTTAGGCTGCAGTCTATGCATATAACACGAATACAAAAAGAACGAATTAAAAAGGCCCATGAATGGCCGAGATATGGAGGGAGGAGTGCGGACGTCGGGGTGGACAGCGAGCACGAGGGCGGGAAGGATGCGCGCGCGGGGGAGTGATGGGCGCATGGCCCAGACATGCGGGATGGCCGAGGGACGCCAGCGCTGATGGGCTGGCCAAGGCTACGTCATCAGCTGATGGGATGCAGCGCCCGTCGGGACGGCGGGGAGGGGACTTAGGCCTGGAGGGCGTTGTTCTAAAAGCATAGATTGGTACATCGTGCATAGGTCTCACGTAGTAGAGGACGGATAGATGATCCCTGCTCGCAAGCAGGGCGAACCCCCCCGGGTATGCCCTGCTTATCGGCATCGAGATCAGTGAGTTTCAGGTGCCTCTGTACTCTTCATACGCCTGCTTTAGCCTGAATGGCACCACGGGCGTCTCGAGCTCCAGCGTCTTGGGACTCCGCGCTGTCCCGGTA